CGCTTGTTTATATTGAGTTCCTACGGTTTGGGAATACACAAGGCCGTCTCAAGGTCATGGTTTACCGGTACAAAAGAGACGAACTTTTCAGGAACTCCAGGTTCATTTTTTCAATAATATGTAAATCTACTCAGCCCGCCAGTCTCAGTTCTACTGGGCACTTCTGGACCTTCACATTTAAGCAATCTTGTCTTGACTTAGGGACAACCACTCGAGGGGTAATTGCAGCTATCGCCGCTACCGCCAGTGATGTCCACTCCGTCGAAGACAAAGTTGGAGCAGCTGTCGTCTCCGCAGAGAATGTAGTAATCCTGACCGTCGCTCATCGTTCCTGTCACATCCACAAAGGTGACGTTGGCGATGGTGACTCCGTTGGTGGGCTCACCGGTGGGACCGCCGTTCAGATAGTCCTGCTGGACATCGATCCCGTAGTCGCTAATGTCGGACAGGGTGATGTTCTCGTAGAGAATGTTGTAGACCTCACCGGTCTCACCCGAGTTAGTCTTGATTCTGCAGCCGTTCTGGCTGCTTAACACTTGCGAATTGGAGAAGGTGACTCCGTTCACCGTGTTGTCGCTCTTGCCGCCAATGGAGCCGATGCTGAGCCCGTGACCACCGTAGCAGTACATTCCGTCGACGACAATATCCGTTCCGCTGGTTACCGCCACACAGTCATCCTGGTTGTGTACCCAGGTGTTCTCCAGTGTGAAGTAGCTGCTTTCCTTGATATCGAAGCCGTCGGAGTTGTGGGCTGCCGGGTCCCCATCACTCTTGCTGTTGGCAGCATCCCCGGCAGAGTTGTTGAGAGTCAGACCGGAGATAGTAAGGTGTTCGGTACTCTCAATCTCAAAGCAGTGGACCGGCCAGTTTTGGATGTAGAGGTTCTCAATGCGGGAATTGTACATGTCCTTCACAACGAAAAAGTGGTCGGGCCTGGAAGAGGTCAGTAACTGCTTTTTCTATGTGGTAGTGTGTAAATCTGACTTGTCCGAGCCACCGTTGGACCCCTCTCCGTCCCAGTATGCCTCACCATTGCCGTCAATGACGTGGCCCTCAGCACCAGTGATGGTAACGCTGGTTCCAGAGACAACTATGGGATCAAAGTCACTGTCAGCGGTGTCTCCAAATGTCTGTGCCCTGAATCAGTATCTGATAGCTGCGTAAGGGGTGGGGGAACACACAGTCTTGCCAGCGAAGATTACAGCAGCGCCAGTCTGCAGGCCTTGGAGATCGATTGTGCTGGAAGGGGGTGCATAGATGTCGGACAAGAGAATGTTGGAGCAAGACGCAACAGCGGACGAGATTGCTGCATACTCAGTTACAGTGCAGGTCGTCCCACCGTTACCGGTAAAGGATGAACTGGCTGTCGGCACGGAAACCGGGGTAGTGACCGCTACTGTCGAGGATGTGACTGCCTTTGGTTCCTCGACAATCTGGGCAGTGCTTGTCTTGAAAGCAGAAGGCGTAGGGGTAACAGTTGCTGAAGTGACATAAACAGAGGTCTGACCCCATTAGTTAGTTCCGTAGCGTGATCAGTTTAATACGATGCTGACTAGATACCTACCACGCTAGATGGAGCCGCAGCAGTAGGAGCAGCTGCGGTGCCCAGGCAGCTGCATGCGCTAGACAGATGCTTGGTTTTGTAGTTGCAGTTGCTGAGGAAGGCCGCTGGTACTCCAGTGGTAGCAGTCACTGTACTTGCAGTGAAGGTGGCACAGAAGCTGGAAGCTGCCGCAGCAGAAACCGAGTAGATCGAGGCGCAGCTGTGACCGGGAGATGTTGGGTTGTCACACCCAAACACAAGGGGAATGAACGAAAGAACAAGCGCACTGCGCTTCATGACTGTCACTGGGTAAAGGAAAGACTAAAGGAATGATTACTGATATTAAAAGAATGTAAGGTGCCTGGACCATCGATAGAGTAGTTCTGGAGAAGCATATTTATACAATCTCACTGTATTGAATCAATCTTACCTAGGAGCCGTAGTGGATCTCTGTCGATTCATGGAGGATAACGGAAGTTTCAGATACTACGAGGGGCTGAACGTCTCTAGCCCGAGAAATCAGGGAGTGAAATTGCGGCAGTCCCTACCCGGTCCAGAACATGTTCTCACGGATAAAGCAACATAATCTGTATTGCTGGCTCGTGCACAGTCAATGTCTGGGTGGTGGGGGTGATTGCGTCGGCTCCGTGCTTTAGCGTGTGGAAAGTGCTCGACGATTGATGGCCTTTTCGGAACACGGAAAAGCATTTGTTTACTTTGACATACGCTAAGTAACAAATAAATTACGGACGAAGTGGATTCTTCCTACAAATGGATTGATTTTGCAGTCCTGACATATCTTCTCCGGAACACTCAATAGGTCCAACGTTCAACAGCCGAGCTGGGTCGGCTGTTTTCACCCGGTCCACAAATCAAGAGAGCCCTTAAATTTGCTAGCGAGCAAGTGTGTGTGTTTCACCACGGGGTAACCGGACCAAGCCTTCATTGGCAAAGCTTATTGACCTTGGCAAACTGGACAAAGCCTGCCAAGCATTAGCGTTATGAGCTAGACGGAATGTTTTATCCGAAAGAAACCAGCAAGGGGTGATGGAGTACCAGGAGGTGCAAGTTGCCATTTGTGGATTATGACTTTGTGACACGTTCAATTGATAGACATGACCAGACCAATGCGGGTTTCTCCCAAGGAATTCTCGAACCACCAACCAGCATCTTGCTGGAGACGTCAAAGAGATTCAGCGACCCCAGTCTCAATCACTGTACCCCGTAGTTGGCCAACCATAAGGTCTACCTGCTAGGGGTCGTCGGCCTGCAGACCATAAGCATTGATCTGACTTCTTTGCACGCTGTCCATCCGGCATCTTGTGAGTCGTCGTTCCTCCCATCATAGGAGAAGGAAGGATGAGGTGAGGCTGATGAAGAGGGTATACCATGGTGGATATGTGAGAATCATTTGAATTACATTTGGAGGTAGAACCATATGATCATCCGTAATCATTCCTACAGATATAATTGTTCATTGAATGCGTGATTAGTTATTAAATCCCGTATCTTTTCGCAGGTGAAGTTGCCCTATCGCGCACCATGTGACCGTTACTGTGAATTTTGACATCAAGTATACGTAAGGACTTAATAATAGAAGAATATTGACTTTTCTCGATATTGAAACCCGAAACTTTTACAAATTGTATATTAACCACGCCAACATGATTGTTCAGGTATATTAGCTGGGAAGTCCAGTCGCCCTCGATATAGTAGACCGAGTTAGGTATTCTAGTTTTTCTATTCTCTGATTTTTATTGTTGGCTTTTCTAGGGGATTTCTCGATTAGTCGGGTTACTGCTTAACTTGCGTCTAGCCCATGTGGCACCTCCCTCAATCGTGCGGTTAGATGAGATTGTAAACATTGTGGACTATATCGGGGAAACAAGGGAAGAAAAAAATCATAATAACCATAATAACCAGGGGTGTACTAACAAACAACCTAACTTGGGACAGGCCTATGCATTTAATAGTTTTACCAAACTCGTGATACATGTCGAAATCAAAAGAAAAAGTCCATTCACCTCGTACATACATATACTACCCTCATTCACGATGATTGAATACGCAATGGCAGACCCGTAAGGTCCTCACGGGCAAGTCGACTTTGGCTTTACAAGAGACAAGATTAGTCTAGCATACTTTCAACGTGGCGATATTATGGATGTAAAGGCTTTCCAGTGGTAAATCGCTCGATACATGTGAAACATGCGGACAATAACCATGGGCTGTATACATATGCTTAGATCATAAAAGGCTCACAAAGCAATCTTCGCTTCTGGAGAATAAACCTGGAAGAACCTACCCATTACTTTGTATGAAAATGGTCCAAATGTAAAATGTGGCAGAGTACTTGCTCCGAGGAAGAATGCTGGGGTGTCTGGTATGTAAGAGTCACGCGAGAAAGACGGGGCCGAGACTGTCAAAGAGAGCCCGCAAAATGTAGAAAGAGAGAGGAAAAGAGGCTGTTTGCTTTGTGCTCACGCAGATAATGCACATAAAAGAAAGTCTTCTATCTCGTTGAGATCGAGTTGTCTATCGTCTATATTGTAAGACAACAAAGGAATCAATGCGCTATTTACAGCATTCTTCAAAAACGCCCACCACTGGCAATGCCACACATACCATGACGTTGAGTCCAGTCCCAACATTCCACATCTGTTTACGACGAATGCAGATCAGATACTTCTCCTATAAATACGTCTAATAGACTCGAGTTTGTTCACTACTATCTCGAAATAACACTACCTCAGATCTAGATAAAAATCAATCTTGTGATCACATCTCTTTGACTCTCATATCAAAATGAAGCCATCCTCCGTTATCTTCGCGCTCTTCTCCCTGGTCACTGTTGCAGTCGCAGACAAAGTATGCACGCCAAGCTTCGACTATTGCTCCTCTGAGCTCATTAGCAAGAAGGGTAAGTTGAGACGAATGCTTATAGATATCGATCATGGGGCACTAATGTGGATTAGGATTCACGGAAGATGATCTCAAGACCGCGCTGAAGGGAACGGAATTTGAGACGGAAGACCTGAATAACATTCTTTTCCATTGCACGAATCCTGGCATTGTCGGCCATCCAAAGCTCTGCAGTAGTGGATGCAAGAGTACGGAGCAGGAGGGTAGCCACAGCTGTTAGGAGTCATTTTATGTATCTAAGATTTGAAATCCTACGAAGTGTTGTTGCAGCGGTCCTTTTCTGAGTGATTATTGAAATCAGGTGTGAGCTATAAGCCAACACCCTATCTCCTCGGTAAAATGTTAAATCTAGGACTACTATGGAAGAAGCTTTCATGAAGCGCCAGGTATGCCATTTTTATGTCCAGCTTACAGTTGTAGCTGTCGATAATGACCTGCTTCGAGACCTAAATGCTCTGTAGGCCATTTCAAATCCCACACCTGAATGAAAATCTTACATTGCAAAATATATAGAGTTCACACGGGTATACCTTCACTAAACCACATCACGTTCGAATAATAAGGAATCCCAAAACAAGTCGGGCTCCTGCCCAACGGTGGGCGGCGGTTGGATGAGGCTCAGCTGGTCAAGCCAGTATGCTTCGCTGAAGCTATCGGGTATTATAGAAAGCTCAGGTGCTAATTGATCCAGTTCTGCTGGCACCCTATTCTGATGACTCAATTCTTGGCGGAGATCCCGTAGCTCAAACCCAGGAGACACAGCCGATGATGATGACGTTCCGGAGGTCATGGCAGGGGAGTGACAGGCTTCCTTCAACTTTTCATAACATCGCTGCACAATACCGAGTCCTGCCCTGGCTATTGGATTGTAAGGTTGTATATGGGATAGTCGCTCGATTGCTTGCTGGAGAACATGGTAGACGTACTGTCTCGGTTCGTGACTATGCGGCGGGTACGATGCTACGATGATGGATAGTAAAATAGACGCGTCGATAGTGTAGAATGCGAGCCCAAACAAGGGGTAGTGATGTTCACTGGTTTGCCCGAAGAATCGCTGTTGTGATTCTAACGTGGCCAGTGCCGCTTCCAATGCAGCTTTTCGGCTTTCTGCACTAGCAAGGATGTGCGGTCGGTGCAACGTCATCAAAAACAGGTTCGCCGTCATGAAAACCTCCTCACGAAGCTGGGGCAGGAAAGGGTACTCTCCGTCCCAGGAAGGATCGGGATTTTTAAATCTAAGATATGGCGGCACATTTTCTAACAACGATATCACCTGTTCGTGTAGACCTTTGATGATAGTATGGTCCTTTAAATGGGGCCTATCTGCTTTAACAGCCCTCAACTCATGAAACTTGCACGCCAAGCCGTACCGAAATAGGCCTGCCGATACTGTGGTAGGCCCATTTGGAGGTTCACCGGGCTGTACTGTCATTGGAACTGTCTTCGATGGATCCTTGGGGATGTTACAGTCGATTGGCGGTTTCACATTGCAGTCGTCCGGGTGGATGATTCGTGGGCGGCCAAGTATCATAGCCATTAGACTTGACATTAAGTAATTAGCAACGTACCATGCGTCCTGCGGTCTTTCTTACCTATCCCATACAAACAAGTTAATCCAAACACGCTTTTTGAAATCATCATACCATATCATGCTTAATGTTTGTTCGATACTATTCAGGCTTGATTGGTGAATGTCGCGTTGCCGGTGCAAACCGAGCTCCTGCGCTTGCCTTAATCCCATCGACAATCAGTTACCAATCCGGCAACACGGAGTTGCGAAACAGACTCACCTGATGGCATTCGCTGCACTATGCCATGCCTCAATACCCCTTCCAAAATTCTTGAGCCAGGATGCCCGCAGGAAGTCTGCTAAGACAGCAGTGAGTGTTACACCATGTCTACCTAATATTGTTATAAGTTCATCGCCCAATTCGCTGTACCTGTATGATGAGGAAAGCTCATTCGATGAGATCTGGGTCAGAGCGAGCGCTTCAGGTGGTAGAAATTGAAGGGAGAGGGCAACCACCTGGAATAGAAGAGCTGGGAAGTACTGTAGCTCAATAGATAGCTCTTGGTTATTCAGATAATCAACGGGGCGCATTTCGGTGGTTTGCCAGCGTGAGAAGAGGTCATCAAAATAGAACCTTTCGAGTATAAAGTAATGCCAGTTGACCTCATCGAAGAATACTTTAACGAGCCGTTGCAGTACTGGTTTTGGAGGTAGGTGTGATATCAGTGTGTGGGCATGTGTTTTCAAAACACTTGAACGAAACGGACGGTTATGAGCGGATGTAATTTGCCGAAACTCGTCTTCGTCTTGGAGCACCTGTCCTTTATTAGCGACAACGCACAACTATTGGGTGTCATCACTTGAAGACGGACGTCTTTCAATCCCACAAAAGCGTTGCTCCCAGTAATCAAGGAGTAGCCGAGATCTCCCGAGCTTTGAACATTACCAGCTGGAACCACCGGCGCATGATTCTGGCCGTGCTCTGGCCCCAAGACTTCTGGTGGTTCGGCTATCTGGCCAGAACTACCCACGGTATTAGAAGGCTACATTAGCCATTGGCGGAAGAGCACATACCTTTGAAGCGCGTTGTAGAAACATTTCCTTGCGACATTGCGCGCTAAGCAATTGTTACACGGGGACTTGCGATCACACTGACGGGCATTAGTAAAGCTAAGTTATCTGGTACTGCGTAGCAGTCGTTGGTATACTTTTTGTTTCCTGCGATGGCATTCGGAACATGAAGTGACAATCCGCCTACGCTTTAGCGGTAGCTGGGTATCACTGGTGTACATATCGAATACGTCTATGTATACAGGCGGGGCCAACGTGGAATTACGGCTAGTAGGCAACAAGCCCACACACGGAGGAGGTTTTTCCAGCCGTATTGCGTTTCAGTGCACGTTGCTCGGCAGTTATCTCGTAATTTAGTTTCCCAGGCATGGGCCGCAGGAAGCCGGAGTATAGAGTAGTGAGCTGTTGGTAGTGAATGAAGTTTGTAATCACATTGGGTTGCTGATCCGGGACGGAGAAATGTTGCGGAGCTGGTGATTTATGCAAACCTGATTTGTGCGGTGATTATACCGCTTAGTCACATTATGTTGTTAGTTAACTAAGTTTGGTACCTCGTTAGTGTTTCTTCTGCATGTACTCAATCAGTCGTAGCAACGTCAATATTACTTCCGACATGGTCACCAGCTGCTCATAATGTAGTAATCTGGAAGGATATAGCTTAGTGAATACTCCTGGTGGCTGATCGCGCACGGTATACACAGCACTTGCCACCAGGACATGACAAGTCACTTCGGACACCGCAAGGCTGTAGCCAGGCAACAAAGCCCGTGGCTTCCGTGTTTGGGGCCTTATTGCTTTATCCAGATTCCTATCCCTACCAGCCTCACCCCCACGTAAGTCTTCCCCATTACTTCCGTATTTTCTTGCGGTCGTCACCTCCTCATCTACTTCTCTTTATTGAACCAGACCCACAGTGACTCTGTTATTTCAAGTTTCCACACCCTCGTTTGGCGGCATTAGTGCCTGCCCCGCAGCGCCACTCGGTTAACCATGCCTCGCAAGGAGTTCCAGCGGGATCTCATTCAAGCCTCAGTACCAGGGCGATTTCCCCGTCTGGAAGGGGTTAGGGCGGGCGACGAACATGGCTCAGTCCTGTATACCTACATGGTACCTTTTAGCAATGAGACGTTTGATTTTCAGACATCAGTATTAGGTATGAGCTTTTACTCTTCTTGGCAATTCATCGACTGCCACTAATTGGCATATGGCAGACACTCATGACTATCCTGGTCATCATACATACTTTACATTTGCAGCGAGCGATAATGTTCCCGATGATGTATCTAAGGCTATCGAACAATTGCAACCGACCGTTGCGAGGTTAGCAATTGGGCCGTTTCTCGAATGCATCAGCAACAGCATAGATAATACTCTGCTGGGGGTAGGTTCTTCCCTGGATTCCTTCCACGAGGATCCTTCTGAAAGTGAAATCTTCTCCGGTGATGACGACATGGACTTCGACGTTGACTCCGACGCCCAACTTGCGCCGCCGACGGACAAAGCCAAGGTGATGAAGCAAATACGCTCCGACATGGGCACTGTAAAAAAGGCTGGGTATCGAGTTGGCTTCCTTGGAGAATTAACTGAATGTCTCATTGTCTCGGTTTCCTGCCGGATAGGAAAGCTTGGTATCTCCAAAGTTGCCATGCAGGCCTGGAATGTCCGCCCTTCGCAGTATCTAGTGCTGCTGTTACGGTATCCCTTAGGATACTGCAACCTTGACGAAGTGATTGAGAAATCCGGACCCAAGACACCACGGATCCAGATGCACGTTGGTCTTTGCGATTCGTACAAGCCTAGCTCGACTTCTGCCCTGCAAGCTTTTCTTTCGACAGACGCTGAAACCCCAGGAAATACCAAGAAGGTGGAACCAGAGTTGCAGTCCTTCTTCATTGGCGACTCACTGGATACACTCCTCAATACACATTTCATAGCCTTAGTGCGATATCGTCTTCAATATGGCTTTACATGGACGGGGTCCGAGCTATTCCTGAAAAACAGTCAAAGTACAAGCCCGGATTCTGAAGAGGTAACACGAGGAGTGTACTTTGTTCCGGATTCTTGGAATGCCGCGACTCCACGGTTCCTGCGAGCAGACCATATCTGTGAAGGAAGAACTCCACTATCACTTCCTCTATCTGCAATCCAATTCACCCTTCGGAGATTTGTTAAGTGCACCGAGTTCTGTCTCAATTGTTTTTGCAAGGTCGAAGCGGGCTTCGAGGCACTTATGCCCTACGTCTGCTCAAATAGCTTGTGTCTGTACCAGTACATGAGACTTGGTATGGGGCCCAGTCTTGAGTGGGAGATAATATCCCAGCCGTACGTCGTCGATATGCTTGTCAGTTTTACCTATGCTCGAGCAATGGCTGGGTACCTGGAAGACTTCCCTACGGGTATTGGAATGAATGTCCCTTATTCTGCCAATACAAATACTCAGCTGGTTTACCATGGACAGCTCAACCAATCTACAATGGTACTGGATGCCCGTGATATGCCAGATTTAAGAGTTGGCGAATGGATTCTGATTGTGCCCTCGGGCGCACATATTCGCCATGGCCGGCCCCAGTGGCATTGTCGCGTACAAGACGCCGATTTTCCGTCTTCCATTCGTCTATCGCCTCCAGTTATCAGATGGACACCAGATGGACAGGACGTTAAGTTAGAAGGCAGCGGCGCAGTACAATTCATGCGGTACAACGGCTGCTTCGACGACTTACCGGACAGCGCAAAATGTGAATCCATAATAATGCTTCTGGATACGCTTCCCAACGTTAACTCAATGCGATCTTTTATTTCGAGCCACTCTAATGGCAGTTCTAAGAGGGCATTGGCGTCGTGGTGCGATAGAATATCTCCTGCTGGTCTTTATGTCCTTAGGTGGATTGTTGCATCAAACAGGTCATGTATCAGGTATGAGGACGATCCTGAACACCGAATACCTCATCTGAATGGACATGCCCAGTTTAGGCTCGCGCAAGGAGCACCGGATAAGGAGCAGCGTTTTGTTAGCGCCGTGAAGTCATTTTCTTCCTCACATAATCCAGAGTACCCCACACTATTCGCTTGGCATGGAAGTCCTCTGTCCAACTGGCATAGCATCTTACGCGAAGGGTTCCACTTCAGAACAATCGCGCATGGCCGTAGTAGGGGAGATGGGGTTTATATGTCGCGGCACTTTGGATATTCACTGTCATATGCAAGTTCCCACCATCTGAACAAAGCGTGGCCCAATAGCACTTTGAATATCGACCGAGCGCTCTCGCTAAATGAAATAGTCAACGCTCCCGAGCAATTCGTGTTCAGCGGCGAACACTACGTGGTAGACAAACTGGACTGGATTCAGCCCAGGTACCTCATTGTTGGGCATAAAAGTGCTTCTCTGATCATGGGCGACACGAGATTGGAACCATCAATGACATATACCCAGGACCCTTCTTATGAGGCCTCTGGCCCCACCGGTAGGGCCCTGACACTCCCTATCTCTGCTGTCAGCAGTCATTGGAGCCGCCAGCATGCGGAAACGACACCGAGAAATACACGTGAAGGGCAGGATTCACATGACGTGATGCCCATGGCTGACGATGACCTTGACAGTGTCGTCACATTCACTGACGATGACTGGCTGCTGGAGACAGACGGTGTTGGGAGCACCGATACCAACGACGAGGCAACGAAAGAGGTTTTCCATGATTTGTCCAAAACTGATTTTCGACCCGGAAGGCTGGAAGAATCGACTCTGCAGCTACTTGGCCCGCCGAAATATGCTACACCGATGGCTACCAAGTCTCTTCAAAGGCATCTCCAGGCCACATTGAAAGTGCAAGAACGGGAGCCTTTGTATGCCCTGGGCTGGTATATTGATCCAAATCTCGTGAATAACGTTTACCAGTGGATTGTGCAACTACACAGCTTCGAACCGTCCCTACCGTTATCCCAGGATCTGGAGGTGGCGGGTATGACATCCATTGTCATGGAATTGCGGTTTCCGCCTCAATTTCCAATGTCACCCCCGTTTGTGCGCATTATTCGCCCACGATTCCTGCCGTTTAGCCAGGGAGGTGGAGGCCACGTTACGGCTGGCGGGGCGATGTGTATGGAGCTACTGACGGGCTCAGGCTGGTCTCCTGTGTCCAGTATCGAAAGTGTCTTGCTGCAAGTTCGCATGGCTCTCACCAGCACCGACCCAGTACCGGCTCGTCTCGATCAACGGCGTACGCAGGACTATGCTGTCGGCGAGGCTGTGGCGGCATATACGAGAGTGTGTCAATTACATGGTTGGAAGGTTCCTGACGACCTGCAGCAAGTCTCATGGTAGATACAAAGGGCTTCTACGTGACGCTTGGTACTGCGATGTGTAGATTGCCTCCAACGGTATGTTAGAAAGCGGACAGAAGGGCTTCGCGTAGCCTTTCAATCCTAATACCTATATCTCATTCAGGGGGAGTATTTCTGCTTTCTCCATCTTGTATCTCTGCTTCTGATCTAATCATTCGTGGTCTTACATCGGTCACACGCCATATTTCACAACGTATGAAAGATGCCACAACGGGAAAGATATTCCTTCCAAATCTACTTTCTTGAGTCCCAGCTCTGTCATTAGCGTGTTATGAAGAATCCTACGTGTATTATGCATCAATTTAAAGTAGGACGGATGTCGACAAATTAGTATTGGCACTTGGTAGTTTGCCGTTAGATACTAGCCTCCATGAGAAAAGAGTGAGTTGAAATGCTATGCAAATCGCATCCTTAAATGAGACATATATATAGCAAACAACGTTCTACTGAACCACTTCTATAAGTATACTTGGGGTAACCATTCGGAGAAAATGCACCAGCGTTGACATTGTATGTCTAGTCTATGTGCAGCCAAACCGGGGGAAGCCAGATACCTGCAGACACTTATTCCAGGCAATGCCATCCCGCAGGGTAGAGTATTATGGGCTTCATGTACACCTGGGCTGCAAATTGTTATTTCCGGTAATGCTGCGTAAGATCATACTGCAGAGCCTCCAGCCCCTTCCTCTGTAAAGCAGCAACTGCATCATCCGTCTCGGCCTTCTTGCACATTCTCAGAAATTCGCTATCCTCGAGTGCTGTCTCCGGGTCCTGTTCAAACAGAAGACGGATATTACTGGTCGAAACCGGGTTTATGATATCGTTATACTTTGAACGCCGGACATCGCAGTAGATGTTGAGGATGCTGTCGTCAGCTTGTCCAGTATATATACCTGCTAGACAGTCGTAGAGACCTCCCACATCCACGATTCCCCCCGTCAATCCTAGACCACCGAAGGGGTTGCATACTGTAGGAGAAAGGTATATGTTCTTAGAAGCCAAGGCGAATAACTTATCTGAGTAAACGGGATAGACTTACAGTGTGCCGCATCGGCAGCTAAGAGGAACCGACCGACCCTCATTTTCTTAGCAAGACGCTGGTGGACTTTATAAGGGCTAAAGTTGACAATCTTGTAATCCTCAGGGTCAGGGTTACCCGGTAAGAAGGCCTTGAACTTCCCCGGCTGTCTAGCCTTCAGCTCGTCGAAGCTGAGGCCCGCCACCTCCCCGTAGCTGACGCGCCAGAGCCCGTCATTAGAAATCCGAGCTGCCATGTACCAGTGCTCAGGATGGATGATGAAATTGGAATCCCAATCAAACCCGTGTTTCTCGAATGGATAGTACGTCTGGAAAAAAGAGGAAGATCTATTAGCTGTCTGCTCTTCCGATAGCGATGCACAGTCGACTGAGACACACATTGGTGGCAACGATTTGCTTATCCCAAGTAAACCCGGGGAATTCCCTATCCCCAAATAAAGAGCGACGAATTTGGCTGTTTGCGCCGTCGCACCCAACGATGTATTGCGCTTCCAATGTTTGCAGGCCATTCGGGGTTTCAACGTCCACCCATGCCTTGACATCATCCTGGCCTAGCCCAGTGACTCTGTGACAATGCAAGATCTCCACATGGGGTAGTTGGTCGATATGTCGCTGAAGGACCACGTTCAGCTTGTTTAGCGGAAGGCAGGTCAACGGCGTCTGATTTCCATCTTCTGCTCCGGGGGCAGAGACAGCCGCCAGAAACTCTCCATTCAGCTTCCTCCAGCACGCTCCATTCGGCAGGAACGATCCCTCTGCTTCCATATCTTCCATGATTCCCGCACGGCGCAGCTCGTACACAGCGGGCGGGGAATAATGGGCAGCGCGAGGACGGTCATCAAGGGAGTCTGCGGCTTCCAGAAGCCGCACGGGGATTCCTTTTTTACCTAGCAGGAGTGCAAGAAGCAGACCGCTAGGGCCCGCGCCCACAATGAGGACGAATGAAATAGACATTGGGACGAAGGGGCGAATACTGTAGCTTCTGCAGCCTTCACTCTGTGCGGGGCACAGGATGTTGGTACCTTAGTTGTGAGGATCCCCAGGTTCCAACGGAAATCCCCCCACAACCGAGTCCCCTCTAAGTGAGTGGCTTCAATTCAACCGGCCCATCCAGAGTGGGGGTTGCTCCCAGAGTGGATTATACCCCACATGGAAGTCCCACAATCTGATGGTCTGAAGAACAGCTGTAAGTAGACATCCGTGCGGCAGTCAAGAAGAGTGGAGGTCCTTAGGGCCTGGGACGCCTTACTCCTTAGGCATCTGCTCTATTCAATACCATATGTTATGGTAGAACTCCACGAATCGCATCGATAAGTTAGCGAATTCAAGTAACAGTTTCTTGGCCAGGTATATTTTCTTTTTCTACTTTTAGAGATTTACGCACTCTTCTCTGACACCTCTTCAGCACCCTTCCATACGGCGTGGCCAGGAGGTGAGCGTACATCAAGGGGGGAAAAAAGACACTAGTCTCTTTGATATCTCTAGATCGGCTACCCTGTGCCTCGAACAGCAGAAAGTGGTGATAACGGACCATGTGCAAGTGCTCGAGGATAGACATACGATTTCAAGACCAATATGTCGCAGATTTCTGAAAATGTCACCTTCCTCGGTACTTTCACCCTATCCCTGAAAGGCATTCCGCAGCAAACCCGAGTAACCGAACGAAAGCCAGCGATTGTCGGGCGAGGTGTCTGCTGCTTTCTGGGAAGAGGCTATAAGGAAGCTGCCCCGCAACTACGTATTGTCCCTAATTTGATTGGTATACTATGCATACTTTAGAGCACTGCTCCTGGGAAAGCCATGGCAACAATCCTACCTTCCCCACATTATGATTTATTGCTCATTTGCTGTCAACAACCATCCCCTCAGCATCTACTCTGGTCTACCCTAGCATATAGCCTTCTACCTTAGCTTTCTGCCATTCAGTTCGTAGAGTTGTTTCTACAGTCGAGCTCCGCGGAACAAACCGCAGCTTGCTCGGTTTCGGAAGAGTATTCGCTCCCTTCTCGTAGGCCGCATCAGAAACATCCACTGTACCAACCTTGCCATTCTCGAGCAGCGGCAGGATATCGAACGCCCATATTATGCAAGCGATTGTAATAAAGAGGCTATTCTCGGCTAGATGCATCCCTGGACAAATTCGTCGGCCGGCTCCAAAGTCGAAATGGTCGCGCGCGTATGGATCAGGATGCGCGGCGTAAACGCCGGCTTTGAGAGGATGGTTGAGATAGCGGTCTGGAATGAAATCATCTGGATCGGTGTAGCGTTCTGGGTCGAAGTGGAGCGCGTAGTGATTTATGGAGACGACGGAGTTTGCGGGGATGAAGTAGTCCTTGTATACAATGTCTGCGGTGGTATAATGCGGGCTTCCGATACTGACCACTAGGTTAGGATACAGAGGATGCATAGTTTACTTGGGAAACTTTACTTTGTCACAGGTCGAATTCGGAGAATCTCCTTAATGTAAGCTCTGATATATGGCAGATCTCGCTCATCCTCAAAAGCAGGGAGACGGTTCTCGCCAACCACTCGGCGGACTTCGTTGTATGCCTTTGCCTGGGCCTTAGGATAGGCGGCAAAATACTTAACGCAGGAGTCGAGCGCGGAGGACGTGGTCTCCGACCCAGCTTCAATCATTGCTGAAGGGATTGTTAGCTTCAACATCCTCCCCTACAGAATACGGATACGCAACGTACTGCCCGCAACAAAGCTTGCTTGGAGCTCACCAATACCGTTCCTCTCATAATCCGTCTCAATGAACTGTTTGACAAAGCACTCTGGGGCCTGATTCGAGTCCATTTGCGTCTTGAGTCGGGTCCAGTATTTCATCCAGATCGCCACCTGGCGGTGGAATGATTGCAGGGCGGCCTTCCTCCACAATTGCATCTGCGCTGGAAGTTTGTTCAGGACGGGAAAGGCCTCGGTAATGTAACTTCCCGGTGCTGTGGCGTCGCTGAATACCTGCATTAGTCCGTATATCTCGCGGATGTCTTCGCAACCCTAAAAGATCCGTTCCTATACGCGATATGGGACCGATGGGACGAAGAATCTTACCCAAACAGGCACTCGTCGTCCGTAGGTGGAAGTCATTACCACTGGATCTCCCTGTTACATTAGCAGGGCTAGGAATGGTAAGACCGTTCTCGGGAAGAACTGACCCGACGTGGTATATCTACGAATATGCATGTGGAACTTCTCCTGGTTTTCATTGTCCACCAATATATCCCACAGCAGCTGCTTGGCTTCGAATTCCTGGGACGGCATGAAAGTATTCGATGATTTTGGGGTGAGCAGCTTGTGGACGATTGCTCGCAGCGTCCTCCAGTTGAAAGAGTACGGCATCAGCAGGAACCTGTCCATGAGATGAGTGAAAGCTAAAGCCGGAATTCTATCTACAATTCTCCTCACCTCATGCCCCCAGATAGAAAATCCGACACAACGGGACTCGGAGCACGCGAGGAGGAATGCTGCGATTGCTTGTCGAAGATCTCCTTGACGGCCGCTGGGCTGTTCACGTAGATCCACTGCTCCCGTCCCAAGCGCACCTTGAAGAGCTCGCCGTGTTCACAGGCCCATTTTCGGAGCTACTTTTGCGGGTAGGCGCCCATTTGAGCTGCAGTGCCAGTGACGGGGACATCACGTAGTCCCTTCGGTGCTCTCCTTGGAGCAAGGGCTGTAGTGGCGAGGTAGAAGATCAGATACGCGGCTGACGCGCTTAATATTCCAACCGTGAGGAGCGCCATTGTTGGAGTTTTGCATGGCCCTATCCTGACGCGGGGTGATGTGATTTGCTATTATCCGGTGTCACCATACTTGTGGCCGAGATAACGTTTGGACCACCCCAAAGACACATCTCTTTCCCGAACTCAGCCTCCCGGGGCGATCATTGGTTTCCCCAATTGACCCAAATGCTATGGTCACGTTTCTCTCGCCGAGCCTAATCCAGGCACCTTCTCTTCAACTTAGGGCTCCGCGCCCAACTGCAGAACTGCATGAGCAGCAATCCCACTAGAACTATGCATCCCGTACCGACTAGGCCTCCCAATCGCTTCACGATGACTGTCTGGATCCAAACGACATCGACGTCATCATACTCAGCCATGTCCACTATGATCACCACGGGGATCCCACAGGTTTCCCACCTGCACACCTCCTTCTCGGTGCCGGCTCACTCACGCTACCTTGCCACGGTTTAGGTCTCAGTGCCTCTCACAAGTCTTTTGATACAAGCCTCTTCCTCGATGCCATGCGAGTAACCGAATTACCGGACCAAGCGTACACCACTTGAAACCGCTGGGTCTGCTCGAGGCAACACTGAATTTGCTTAATCATGTTTCTGTCTATGTAGTTGATGCACCAGGGGATCTTCCAGGCCATTTGAGTCTTCTCTGCCGTTTTGGACTCCAGGAGTAGATGTACCTGGGTGGGGATAGTTGTTATGATTTGCGGCCTCGCAACTGGGAAAGCTGGATGCATTAATGCATGGGCGATTGGCAAAATAATGTAATTTTGACCGCAGTTGCCTGGTCAGGGTTATATTGAGAGGATTTCTATGATACTCCTCTTAATCCAACCCACCTGCTCGTCTTCATACCCTTGGTTTCTGAGCTTGTATATCATGAAGGTTAAGCACTACGGACTTCAAAATAGAAGGCTCTATAGTCCACTTCGGGGATGGCCGTTTCCCTTCATATTGTGTCTTTTTTGCCCGCGTCATAAGGAACATCATAGACGCACAATCTGACCTTCTCCTGGTTGATGAGGATACACAAGACATCTGGATTCAAGCGCCTTCGGATTACCATCGAGGATAGGCTTGAGAGCAGGGCAATGCGGTAGGCTCCACAAACCTGTCTCTCAAGGAATGGTTTCCATTTACCAACCCCTGCCGGTTCATAAAGTCCTACAGCATATTTTGGGGGTATCTTTCATTGAAAGTCTTGATGAGCCAGATTCACGATGGTATTCAAGTGTGGCGCGAGTGGTGCATTGACCATTGGTCATGAATGAATCAGTGTCAATTTGTGGTCTCTGTTACCTCAGACGTAGGTTCTAAAATGATGTACACGTATCCACGAGAAGCCATTTGGTCGATGCCCCCGGGAACACTGATATCAATCTTGATTTATAGCTCTATATTTACTCAGGGCCCATACAGCGGATCTAGGAAGGATTCTGATCTGTTTAACCGCCGTGGTAACTGCTCGCTCCCTTTCCCTTGTTACAGAAAGTGGATCTCCAGCAAGTGTCACAAAGACGGGGAACGGCATGAACCTGTGCTTAGTTGGGCCATCAGAACCGCCTTCGTAGCTCATTGGCAAGAAAACAACGGCAATCTTATTCACAGATCACTATATCCGCGCCGGCTATCGCCGGGGCACGAATTACACTGAAGCCCGACTTGTCCAACCGGTGCGGACAAAGAATCATAACTGTGTCACCTACAATATCGTTCGAGACCACCTTCAAGTGTACAAGGATGGCGACTCGTTTCTTTGTGTGGTAGGTGTGTACAACTCTATAGCAGATGCGTCGCCGCAGAAGGTTCTCAGGGAGTTCCACCCGGGCTAAGAGCAGCGGGCGACCGTATGTGTGACGGCGTCTAAGGTCTAGAAGACGGTGAGATGTGAGCATGTGAACGCGGTTGTTCTCCTCGATGGCTGGTACATGGGGCTGAGTGACCCTAGGGCTTCTGCGTGCATTCCGGGAGAGTATATCCATGATTCGTGGTTGCTCAAAAAACCGGCAGCGAGCTCCATTGAGTCTGTGACAATGTGTGGTCGGCTTTGTTGATACTTGTGCCCGAGAGGGTCTTTTGCAAAGGTTTTTCTTAGCCACGATTCGACCTAGGCAACAACGACCACGCGGATGATGCCGTCGGCTCTGGGGCATGTACCCAAGTCCAAGGATCACGATTAGGCCAATTAGTTTCGTTTACAGTGTTCGCGTACGCTCCGTTGGTCCTGATGAATGCCGTCCTTAATTTGCGAGCCACGCAAAAGGAGCAATAGAGTCGAGACGGAAGACTTTAGACATGGATTGACGAGTGTTAACTGTTCCAGGCCTAGTGCTGGTGGGGATGAGGTTCGTGTCCGAAGTGAAACGAGTGGATCTGACTTGGCATTTATTCGGGGACCAAAGTCGGGAACGCGTCTTCGCCTATCACAGAACACTTCTCAGCCTCCGGGGCGATCCATCCACTTTTGCCCCCACCCCCAAATCCCAAGCGAAAGTGGAGGACAAATTGTCATCATGCCACCCCCTGTTGTCTGACAATGCTGATTGGAATCATATTGAAACCCGGAGCAGTGGTTAAAGGTCGCCGACCGTGTGGACGGCGTTTAGCATGCGTCACCGAGCTCAATGTGGCGTGGCTTAATTTGTCTGTCGACTTCTCAGATGTACCCTGCAGAAATGATTGCACCGTCATCACTTCTCGCACGGACGGTTCGCCCCTTTCCACTAGTTGGAACCACTCTTTGCGTGCATAAAGCAAATCCCGATCATTCCTGGTGTGGATGCGTCGTGATTTGACCCAAACACCGCAGAATAGCCTTTTTGGCTGGGCTCAAATGGTGATTCTTCAGTGCTTACCATGCATGTATGCATCCTGCAGTGTGTCCCTCGGGTTGTTATTTTTCTGCGGGTGGGAATTGACAGCCCAATATCCTGGCTCTGCTATCGGATGGACTCGGTCCTCTCTGCAACGTCGGGTTCCGGCTCACGTGCCTCCCGTCCCCAGTTCCGTTCCCACGATCGTCCAAGTCGTGACTCTTCATCAAGTCGGCAACGCCCCCTCACGTGAGCTCTCGAGGCGTCGAAGGTTGTCCGATTGCGACAGCGGGATCCGGCCCGAGTCAGCACGCGATCCAGAACATGTGACGAGGCCAAGAAGGTCGGGGAGTTGAAGGATTTGCAGATGCATATTAGATGCCGACAAATTGCGGAGGAAGGAAGCCGAAAGGATATGAAATCCGTTTCAGAGTCTGGGTCGGGGACATCCGTGCTATTGTATATGTGAGATGCGGGATCACGGCGGTGACGTAATTCCCCGTCCGGGGACTCTCACTCCTGCACATCTCGCAGTCTGGACACGAGTCAGGGTCAAATTAACTGGATGCAAGGGAGAGCAGCGAACGCGAACAACTATATGAAGGACGGGATCCAGTGTGAAGTGGAACTTGTCGCCGAACAGGTTGGTCGCCGACTCGGGGATCTCGGGATCGACGAATGGGGACCACCGCACTAACCACATAGTTCGGTACGGTAAACCACTTCCGAACGACTGCGAAGGGTAGTTGATGTTTATACATACCACAAGCAATGGAACCCGTCGATGATCTGGAGCTAGAGTCAACTTAATCCTTTGTCTCCCCCGCTTTGTGTGACCGTCGTTGTCTGTCTGGACCACATACAATGCAGGATCCAACTACCCCGTCCAAGCCGCCGTCATCCCGCCAGCCCTCATCCCTGGCTTGTGTATCCTGTCGCCGCCGCCATTTAAAGTGCGATGCCCTTCTGCCAGCCTGTACTCGCTGCCAGTCCACCAATGCAGAATGTCATTATGTACGGTCGAGGCGAGGATTGCGTACCAAACCGAGCAACCAATCCCCCCAGCGCTTCGACGATCAAATGTTGACTGCAGACGATTTTGCTACCTGGCTGAATGCCACCACGCTAGCAACAGACTTGGAGGTGAGCTTCCAATCCGGTCATTTGTCAAGTGGTGGCGGTACTGACCAGAACAGGCAGATCCGGCACTTCTCCATGGACTTGAAACGCCCCCAGTATGGGATATTCCTTGCCTCCAGGATGATACAACCACAACTGCCTGGCCCGAGCCGGAGCCGCTCGCAACAGTAACCCCTGAGATAGCTTATGATCCAATGGTGCAGCTATATTATCAAAACTTTCACCGGTCACATCCTTTCTTGATACCGAGAAAGGTCCTTCATTCTTCTCTTCGGCACCGAATACCCCCATATCTCACAGGCATCATGCGTTACATTGGCGCACATTACTACCCTGATGTAAGATTCAAAGAGGAATTCCGGCGGGTGGCGTACACGGTCCTATCCGATACCACTCGGGATGGGTTCAAAGTGCAGGGACTGTTGCTACTTGCAATCATTGAGCATGCCCATGGCCAAGAGGAGAATGCGCACTTGAAAGTCCAACTGGCTATTGATCTCAGCCTGGAGCTGGGAATGAACCGCGCTAGTTTCGCTCCCATTAACTCTGAAGGCAGTTCGGTTCTTGCTGAAAGCTGGCGGAGGACGTTCTGGGAGCTATATGTTGTAGACGGGTTATTGGCAGCTATGCGAGATCAAAGCTCGTATCGTCTATATTCCTATAAGGCAGACGTGCGACTGCCTTGTGCTGAGGAGCTTTATAACTCCGCAAGTGAGGTACAACTCCCCCATAATGCTTACTAAAGCATGGGTGAGATTAACTGACGCATGACAGATCACGCCAAATACACTAACTCTGAACGATCTCAAACAAAGCTGGTCTCTAGACCAATGCAGCTCCTCGTTCACTTACCGAATTGAGCTGCGCAGAACCTCGGGCTCGTCATGGAAGTGAACCGTTCACTGGATATTGATCTTGAAGCCCGCGTTGAGACAGTTGACGCTGCACTTGTCTCATCGCTCATGCAAATACCTTCCTCTCAGGATAGCACCTCTTTCGACAGCTCGAATATCGATGAAATGCTCTTCCAAGCAGAGATGATCAACTACCTGTAAGGCTCTTTCAGGATACCTTTCCCAAAACAAAAGGCTAACGGAAGTCACTAGAGCATTGATATACCTTCACCATCCCCGTTCCAGCATGCGCTTTGCTTCTTTCCACGCTCGCACATGGTGCACTCGGCTCCGGATCTGCAACAACAATCCGCCACCTACGGACCTGGATCTGCACTCGCAGAAGTTCTTGCGGGCGGCGGATATGTTATCCAACCTTGTCACTTTACCCAGTACGATCAAGTCCCGGACTCCTTTCTTTACATGCGCCCTGGCAATGTGTGTTATTGTGCACACGGCAGCATGCCTGGTCATGTCCGCCCCTGAAAAGGTCGAGTCGCTCAAGACGCGAATTCAACTAAGCATTGGGGGCTTGAATATGCTGGGCAAGTCCTGGCCGTTGGCGAAGATGGTGAGGCAGCAGATGGTGAACATGTATCAAGAGGTCGGGCTGCGCTGAATATCGCGGTTTCTTCTGCGATATATTCCATGCCCGACTTTCCCGCGCACGACGGACGGCTAGTCGCGCTCATGGGCCCTTCCAAGGATATTTTGAAATAATCTCCGGGCTGGGCAAGGCACCATGATACTAAGTCTAGTGTGTGGGAGATATCATAAAGGCTGTCAAGGCCAATCAAATGTCGAAAAGGGAGGCACTGGATGATAGGGAAGCCATCCGGACCGTAGCCCTGAGCGTATGGTCTGACATGAGAGAATAATATCCTCACTTCTCCGACAATGGTTCAGAGGAGGCCGAGGTTGAGCTAAGTCTCGAACCTTGCGCCCTTCGCCGCGTTTATTCGATATTGCATCGGCGTCACTTAACACCAACTAGACTCAGTAGCGCGGGCAAAAGTTGGCAACCATTGAAGATGGATATAATATCGGTGGGTGGTATAGAGCCTAGAGAGGAGAGTGGCTCAACTTCATTGTGTTTGGTTGATATGACTTGCATGCCTGTGAGCGATGCCTGACCATTTTTATACTCATACTTTTGTCTCATAGAAGCAGAAAGCTCATGGATACCAGAAGAGAGTTAGACATTATTGTGGCAACTTGGAACTCAGTAATTCATAGAATTCACAGCCCGTATCAGAGACATACCCCAAAGAAAGAATACGCCAGAGCAAAGGCAAGGAAACATGAAACGCTCTGCAGAGCCGCATCGCCACCAAATGTTGCGATATCGAATAATACAGTAGCCATTAGTGGGTACAAACCCCATACGAGCCAATGCCTTGGTCGCCGCTCTACGTAAAACGTCCAAATAATACCTCAAGATAACACCCCCATGTCAAATTAGTCCTGAAGACCCACCTGAGCTGGTCCCTACTGGACGGGGATACTGATATGAGAGTTGCCTCGACAGGCTAACTTTATTCCATGGAAATCGATCAAACACGTGATGGTACTGCATTCATTTGGCAATCTGTAAACATCTCCATGCTTTGTCTCTCGCCATCTTTCAATAAGTCTCACCCTGCTCTTCTGTATCTCGCAGGTACACTGTTTGGAGCCTGGTCCTGCCCCTACCTCGGACGGAGTTCTTAGACACAGTTCAACAATCATCTCAGGGGCGGCAGCCTAAAGAGTCATGAAAGTGTCCCCGATGATACTCGCCCAGAGCGATTTGGCGTCTCTTGAAACAACATATACTTCTACGTGTATATACCCCAGTACCACCCAGGCCTTCTCCTGAAGCACAGCGCATCATTCAGTACCTAATCCCTCATGTAATACGTGGGCTGCCACAGTTATATATACATATAAATACATATGCTTCGTATACCCTTCTCCAGTATAGCTATAGTATATACTTGATGGATACGCTTCTTACCTTTTCAGATGACCTGAAATGTGGATAGTAATGCTGATCCCAATTCCTGGCATTTCAGCTGTGTACCAACCCACTCCACAGAGCCGATAAACTTGCTACTGCAGACATGGAGTTGCGAACCAGCCAAGACCCCAGTGGATCTGTCGATCTTTCCCGAGCTTCTTGACTTTTGACCCAATCTATCCAATAGGGACCCACGGAGGAGGGAAAGCATACTTACAGAGGAAAGGATCGTGCTGATCTCTATGGGAAGGTCTGTATATCGTTTCCTTCTGCGAATTTTGCCAGCTGTATACAAAATATGATAGGACCGCCTTTGCCATAGTGGTTCTGGCAGTTCCACACCCGATCTAAAGGCACCCGACTGCGGTCCTCCAGCTTCATCTCTGAACCTTGGGTAGCGGCTTACTAGTGGTAGGATCTCCATGGAGCTCGATTCCCAGAAACATCAGCCTACAACACCTAAACAAGCTACATCACTCAAATCAGAGAGCGTGCCTTCACAATGCTCAACTTCAAGGTATACCCTTGTCAAAAGATGGGTAGATACTCAAATAGCGATTTTGCACTGCATCCAGTTCTCGCCTATCGGCAAACTAGTGATTAACAAGGTGCTCGGTTGCCAAGTTTCTAACAGCTGCAGATCTTGAACTATTAAACCTTAGTACCAAATTTATTGGGTCTTTCTCTTACATCTACATGGCTATTAAGATCCAAAACCTCTGGGACAGTGGCTAGTTGGACAATAAATACCTCCATTCCTCCCCGGTTCTTCTGCCCATATTTCACTTGCCTCAAATCTTTATACATCGAAATTCTTCTCTCCTACACCTACATCAGACATTATGCTGCCATCATCTCTTTTGGTTGGACTTCTTGCCGCTCTCTGTAACCCGGCTCACGGCCTGGTATTTCGTGATAAAATCAAGCAAGCTGTCGGCGGCGACACACTTTATTTACACCACGATATTGAGGATGCAACATCTGTGAGATTTAGCAAAACGACCGACTCTGCGACGCTGGGCTGGAAGTTTGACACTGAGGGCTTTGCTGATGATGAAGCTGTCATCACACCTTTAGATTCCAGCAAGACTCTCGTATGCGAGCTGGACAAAAGATGCACGCTAGAGCTTGATGGATTGAGACAACCCTATCGGCTCGCTAGGGTCGATCAGACACAACCTATTTTTACCTTTCAAGACATTGCATCTGGGCTTTACGTGTCCCGGACAGACGACCTGGGCCTGGAGCTGACTGGCAACGCTGTTGATACCATCTACTTTGAATTGGAAGCAATTCGAGGTAAGTATCCTCGCCTTTGGTCTTAACGCTATTTATATGCTAATATAGACTTTCCCTTTAGATAGTAATGCTCAAATCTAAATCAAGAAATGGATCATCCTTATTCGAAATTATATGCATAGCCTGTTGTGAAGGACGGTATCAGGGCCAATGGTTTGGGCTCTTGGGAACCAAGTCTTCCTAGAATGAATCTAGTGCCAGAAATCCTATGTCAAGTCTTGGTGTTTTTGTTCCATTTCAGTTATCAGTCAGCGCCGCTTTTCGTTGCCCCCGTAGAACCAAGTAGAACAGTGATAACTCCGAGTAGCTATCCCTTCAGTGTATCACTTTTTCCATCTTCATTGTGTGGAACTTCTTTCGCCTCGTCTTTGATACGCACCTCGGCTTGGTTTCCACAGCTGGTGCCTGGCTTTTGCCCTGACAACTCTCAGAGGTTACATTCGAGGAAAGAAGCTCAGCGGGTATACTCAGCCAGTGCCAGCCGGGTGCTGCTCTTATGGAAATGTGACAAAGAGTGAACCGAGCCCCTGGAGATCTGACAGTATCTCGGAAACGGCATTCTACAATCCGGTATTCTCAAAATATGATACACCAAAAATAATACAAGCAGGTTTTGGCTCATGTCCATTTCTATATGGGCCAGCATAACGCTCAATACCGATATATACTCAGTAATTCGGAGTTTATTGCCGTTCGGCGTCGAGATATAAATAGCCGCGGTGTGGACAGCTCTAAGTAGTCAACTTGGAAGCAGTCGCCACCAGGCTTACGTCTGCTGAGAGAGAACTTTTTGGTATGAGAGTCATTCTGATGTATGGCTAGGGACCATCACTTCCAGAATGGAGTTCAGAAAAGCATAAACCAGAATGAGCTGGCATCCTGCAACCTCACTAGAAATATCTGCCTTGAGGAACGATTCTATTTTCCCGATGTGTTGTGGAGCAAACTAAAGGCTAAGCTGTTTAGCAGGCCGCCGTGGCTACTCGCATATGCACTATCGCAGGGGCGAAGATATGACGTTAAATATCTAGGGTTGCTCGACTACACCGTCGACTTATCTTGTGCTGAAAGCGTATCAGATATTCTAAAAGCAGCCGACAATCTCTGGGCAACCAATACCACTCTTGACAGTGAGACTACGTGCATACTACTACCATCCACGTCATCATAAACCACGCATTGTCTTAGATCAACTACACACAATGGCATAGACCCTTCTACCCACTCACTTAGCTCACCCCACATCATACTTCCGAGGCCTACAATAACCCCATCAAGCAAACCGTACAACATAGGGACAAGGCTTCTCTCCGAATTTGGCGATGCTGTTCTCCTGGACCTTATTCACGCGGTCATTGGGAGCATTCCACATCCGATCACCCGAGTCCCTATCACGATTAGCAATCGCCTTATATCCTCAGAGGGAAACGAAGAAGAAAAACGTACATCATCAACCCAACATGGTGGATACTCTCCCTGTCAGCACAATCACACTCCCCGCCGAAGAAAACAGCATCGCCTGCTCTGCGCTGCTCATATGGATATTTCCTAAACAATAAACTCCATTAGCCTAGTCCAAGACTCATATTATGCCACGCAACCCTGGGTGAAGAAACAAAAAGAAAAGAAACGAAAAGAAAAGAAAACAACATACTTATACTTCAATTCCTTCTCCTTAGCACAATACATATCAGATGTCACACGCAGACCCTCCGAGAACAAATCCCGACCTGTGACCTGACACACAGCCCAACACACGAGTCCCGAGCAGTCATACCCGATATCGCCGTACTGGTAGGGCGGTTGATCGTGCGAGGGACCCTCACAGGATCCGCCGCCCCAGGCGTAGGGCGTTCCTGCTGCTGTCAGGGCTTTGCTGAGGATCTTCTGGCCGGTGGTGCTGTTTGCGGTGGTGGGGGTTAGGGCGTTTGCTGCCGTTAGGGTTGTTAGGAGGGTGGCAAGGATGAGCTTCATTTTGGTGGTTCGTTTTCTTGATGGTCTGGTTGGGATGTCTGGGTAGAGTTGTGATATTGCATAAGTTGAGAGAAGGATGAGATTACGGGATCTATATATCCCACGTTGTTCATGTGAAGCGTATTTATCGTATCTATTTTTATATCCCTGCTTCGTCCATTGTAACGTCGTGTTGGTTATCAGATCTGCAATGGATCTGCCTCGAGACAGAATACGAGCTTTGGGCGATGATCATATCTGATTGCATCTGGGTTCGTTCTTCGTCAGTGACAATAACCAAGGACCTGTAGTGCTGAAAACCGGAATATACGCATATCCTGATACGATCCATATGTCAGGACATCTACCGATCAATTGTTTTAAAATAAATGGAAAGAGTGTACGAAATAACAACCTCATCGATGTTAGATGAAGGGAGTGATGAACACGAGAAGTGGAGGGCCAAGAATGCACATCACCATGCAGACTTCAGAAGATCTATCGTAACAGGCAAGATTTACATCAATTAGGTTGATCGTTGCTTGAGATAAAACGACTGAGTATAATTAGACCCCAAGTCACTCTTTTTCACTTTTTATATTGCGATGGATGTCACACTCTTTGCTGTTGATTGGTTGATATCACTACTTTGTAGGGTGAGTGACAATGTGAAGGTAGCATTAAATTAAGTTGGAGTTCATGCTCAACATGCACGATATATATTCCCGGACGGTTGGAGAAATTCGCTTTAATTACATCTTTATTCAGCACGGAATATATACTATGAGTATCACTTCTCAAACCGATAAATTAAAAATTACTCTCACATCCTGATCAGCCCCATCGCGCGACGTATTCCATATCCGGTTCGTTGGCAATTTGGCGATTCGGTTGTCGTCGGTTGAGCGTCGAGGACTAGATATCATTGGCTTATATTAGCTTTTACTTTGCATGGGTGTATGGTATTGTAAACCTCTTTGAGGAAGTATCTGTATTTACATCCCAATACCCCTTCAGTATACATCAAATATCAAGCTCGCAGGTATTCCACTCAATTCGTACTTACTGTTCGGCCTTCTCATATCATGTACTTGTTCACCAAGACAACATCCACATCCACGGTCTGTCCCAGATCCCGGATCGACAGATCTCTCTGCAAGGGGACCCTTTGGGTTACAAGAAATATTGCCATTGGATATCCCAACGAGAACCCCGCCATTTCCCGCAACCGAGAATGCCAGCTATATCATATGTGGCAAAAATGCTTGTTGAGCGGAAAACCCTCAATTTCGTCAACCGTATGCAGCTAGGCCCCCCTTGCATAAATATCCTCGGCTACCATTCGACCAGAGACAACCGGCATTTGCCAATACTAGTGCGTTGCTGCACGTCGGGATTGAAATACTGCATAGTATGCGTTGGTGACACCTTGCAGGAAGGGATTTGAACCCACATTTGGCAGGTTGATCCCTCATACCAGTCCTCCTGCGTTATCGGTCCTATCTTGGTGAATACACTTAAGCGACCTTCCTTACTTTGTGAGGGATGAAAAGGTCAGCCTTAGATAGCCCCTTGCCGCTATGTGGCGTAGATTCTTCAGGCTGTTTCTCTTGGCGAAATTAGGTAGCATCTTTAAGCTCCCCGCTAGATTTGAGTATGTTTGGGACGGGCTTCTGGGAACCAATAGCTGCATGTATTGATCGTTTCTCTTAAGCCTTTGCGCGGGGGTTGCTTCCCAGTCGCCAGATAAAAGACTCATTTGGATACCTCGCAGCAATCTTTTGGGGGCAGTTCAATGCATAAACTCGCGGGTTGCAGGCAATGGGAAGCCGGGCCAGTTCGTTACTGTGCTCGTGACTGTCGGTGGGTGGTAGCGTATTGGATGAAGCGGGGACAAAAAAGGAAGATGGCCATTGAACTAGCAGCATTCGCTATGAGTCATGTGCATCACACACATATCGCTATGGTATAACACTATTCAATCATCTAGGTCGCTAAAGGTTGATGATAAAGAAGAAAAAACAAAAAGGAAATCAAGGGGAAAATTCCATCACAGATACCCGAAGTGGGAGGCTGATTCTACGCCAAGAACTCTCGGTCTATGGCCTGATTTAATTTATCTGCTGCAAGTTAGCCGGTGCCTTGGCAGGAGCGATAATGACATACCACTTATCCCCTGTATGGCTTCGAATGCAATAGAGTAATTCTCTAAGAACTTGACGATCAGCCGTAAGTTGTGATATAGCTCGTTTCGGAAGTCGGATAAAGAGGTGGTATCCAGAGCATTGATGTCGTCAGGCGCGGTGTGTTGGATAGCCCGCGCTTTGAGACCCAGCATCAGCATTGCATAGCTGGACTGCACTCCGCAGCATACCACCGTTGGCATGGTTCGAGGCAGTTCATTGCCACACCCCCCGCGGGCGTATTGTGTATTAGCTAGGATGTCGCTGGTATGATTCGGATAGAGAAGGTTATCGAGCAATGTGACAATGTTGAGTGCTGCATGCAGACAAATCTTTGATGACTCTTCGCTAGAAAACGGCATCTGAAGTTTATGAATCTGGGACATCAGCGATAAGTCTTCAACCAGGCTAGAGTCGCTGCTCATTTCTAACGGCATATCCATCCGAGAATTACTGTCCGTAGGTATGGATACCTCTGGGTGTCGTATAGAGCCAGATAGAATATCTTGAAAAGCGCACATTCGATGCAGTTTGATCCGCGCCCTGTATTATTAGCGAAGTTATCACCTTTTATGGATGGGCAGTATTTACGTGTGTAGCTTGATCTCTGCAAAATCCCTCATGGCCTTCGATGTCATGCATTCAATGGATTCAGGCTGTGGAGCCATCTGAGACACAAGAGGAGCATCTCGACTGCTGAATAATAGAGAAGATATTTGCCTGTCAAGCTCCTTCATGCGTTTGGAAACCCATGATGTGTCACCAGCTTCAAGCATCGTCTTATCAAGATCATTGGCGAATCCGGCAGATTCGACAAGGACCTGTTGGGCCTCGACGATGAGTTTCCACCCCTATATATATTGGTAAGTAAATCTGTGTGATCCAGTTTTGGGCTTGTTAAAATAACGTACTTCCGGATATGGAGTTACAAACCATGGATCATAAAGATCAAAGGCTGGAGACTGTGATGGATTAGTCATGTATCCTGCGAAGAATGTGCATTTAAACGAACCGTTCCGCTAATAGCCGCTGCTTGACATGCCATCATATACTGGAACAAGATCAGCAACGACTAGATAATGGATATATCACAGGCACCTACCGTCATCCACCAAACCCTCCGTTTAGAGTCTGCATACTGTTCTTCCTCTACCGCTTCATGCAGGGACATACTCATGGCCAGTGCAAGGGCCTGGTTGGCCCGTTGAAGCATATTATCAATGTTCCCCCGCTGTGCATACTCATAAATACTAAGTATTGACAATGTCACAACGCCCTCCAGGGGTACTTCCAGCTTCGGATGAAACGGTACTCGTTCAAAGGCTTTGGTAGTGTCAGCTGGACCAGTCTGTGAATTCTGGCCCATACTGAGCAGTTCATAGTCTCTTTCAATGACGCCAAGGGCCGTTTGTGCAAAACAATGTGCATATTCCCTTCGTCTCTTCAAATACTCTGTCGTCTTGGAATTTCTTTCGTTCGGATGGGGTATCAGAGACAGAATAGCTGAAATAGCCAGGCTAAGAGGACTCGTCGGCTCAAAGGTTGGAGGGCCTCTAGCTAACGGACGGCTAGACACGGGCTGATGTTCAGATGGGGGCAATATTGGGAAATAAGGATGGATAAAAACGTAATAAGCGTCAAGTCTAATTCTGTCAACACAGCACGTGATGACTGTTCTGCACCCAAACTTACATATCTTCATTACTGCCGTAGAGTCGTACGGGGTTGGATACCGACTTTAAATTGGAGTCGGGATTGATTTCGTCTGCATGTGCACCAAAGATGGAGTCAAATATAGAATCGATTTCCGCGAAGGGCATCTCCACGCTGCGCAGGCCTGCCCCTGGGCCACATAAGCCTCCCAGTTGGTAGACCCATTCTAAATACAACGTATTAGATCCTTGACTCTTATTAAGAGCATCCAAAGAACTGATCAAGAGCGACTTACCATCTCCCGAGAGAGGCGACATCCCCGTCTTGCTCGAGGCCTTCGGTAGGCGGCTTTCCCCCTCCACAACAGATGTTACTGTTTCGTGACGAACGGCAGCAGCTTTATGCTTCCTATTGGAACAAGAACGTGGTCCGCCTCGTCGACTGGGCACATAAGAGCAAGATCTTCCTTTCGCGACGCAGTTGGAGCAAGCGGTCTGGCCATCACAACGTATGCGCAACGCACGACTGCCTCGGGGCGAGAACTCATTCAGTTAATCATCCACTTCATATATGCCAGGGACGCACCAAGAAAGACAGGCTAGTTTGACAGGAGGACGGCTGGACTTCTGGCAAATAGAACGCGTATGTTCGAGATCGGCGGTCATATCTCAAATCCCGGTCAATATGGAGCGAAGTCGAAAAAAGCAAGGATCGTACATCGTCCTGCACAAATAGAGGGGTTTGCTCATGGCATGGTTAGGTTTTGTATCGGCCGTGAGAAAAAATGCAAATCCCGAACAGCGCAAGCGAATCCCGACTTGATGTCAATCAACCATACAATCAAGTGGTCCATATGGTGGAGCTTTAATAGAATGGGTCTTGGCAACGGGTATGGCTTGGATGATCCGGCATCAGCCGAGCGCGAGAAGAGTGAGGGATTGGATCTTGCAGATCGGGGAGATAACTTTTCCTGTTCTCAAGGTGGAGTCACGAGCTGCTTGGGGTGTTTGCTTCTTTTGTTTGTTCGCTTTTTTTGGGTTTTCTTTGCCCTCCTCAATTCATTTTAAACTTTGACTTTTTCAAGGCATGACAGGTTATTACAAGGTAATAAATACATGCGTGCTTCTACGCCTTGGACAGAGACGGGAACTAACAAAAGAAAACAAGAATTTGGCCATCTCGTGCTGACGTGACACCTCCCAGTTAGTTCCCCTGAATCTCGCACTGATGCCCTCTCGGTGAAATTAAAAAGTAATTCACGGGCCGCATGTTCTCCCATGTCGCGCTTGGCGCCAATCTGACCCCTCGACACTCTCGAAAGAATTGAGCCGTCGCCAATCGCAGTTCCATCCAAGCCAAGTGGATTCCCAAACAGATTCTACCCCCAGCTCCAAACGGCGAAAAGGCCTTCTTGGCAAGTTCAGAAGCGCTCGTCTCCGTTGCGAGCCAGCGGCTGACATCAAACCTTTCGGGATCTGGATAAACATCCCTGTCCCGGTGGATTGAATAGGCCTGGGTGCTCACGGTCATTCCTTGGGGGATGAAGTAGCCACAGAACGTCGCTCCACCCGCAGGTGTCTCTCGAGGTAACGCCCCCGGGGCTGCCCCGTATAGCCTCAATGCTTCCATGATGACTGCATTAAGCAGCGGTAACTCCTCCAACGCAGCGTCATTGAAATCGGCGCTAAGACTATTGACTTCTTGCTCTAGTTCGCGTTGCAGGTTCGGCTGCGAGAGTACTGCCCAGACGAGGTATGTCAGAGTGATTGCGGTAGTATCTGAGCCGGCCACGATGAGATTCCCAGCCTCCAACACCACCTCTTCATCGGTAATAATGCCGTCGCCCTTCTCTGACTCATGCAACATGCCTGCAAAGATGTTACGACTGGCATTACTAGTCGTCCGGCTATTTGTTATCGCCCGCTGTCCGTACTGGAAAAGGTAGTCGGTTGCTCGGAACATGTTCCGAAACGATGAAAGAGGAATGTGACGACCGAGCCACGCCAGTAACGGAAGCTCCGCCCCGATTCCAGAGCCCATCATGGTGGACTCCAACACATGGATATATTGGTTTTTCTGAAACATTAGTAAAACGCCAATGCATTACGTGTAGGTGGTCTGCGACGTACTTTCCCAACCCGAAGCATGTCAAATGACTCGCCGAACATCAAATGACCGCTCACATCGGTGGCAAGGAACGTCCACCATTTGAGCAAGTCGGATTTCCCGTCTGTCTTTAACTCCAGCCGGATCTGAGAGACTGCCAATTGGACTTTCTCTTTGACAGCTGGCTCCCAGGTTCGGCGCAGCTCTGATTTCGAAAATGGACGTGCGAACAGTTTTCTCCGCGCAGCATGTTCTTTAGGGTCTCTCATTGTAAAGACTCCGGATCTTTTCGAAGGAACAAACTTTTCGTACCATTTTGACTTCAAAAATGGAGTTCCGGCGCGATGAATTTCCCTGAATTCGGCAAGTGAAGATATGTCAACCTCGTCCGGGGCAACGCGGACAATTGGGCCATATTTCCGATGCAATTCGTGCACAAAATAAATGCGATTCCCAGTGAGACTTGCGAACTTCAGAGGTAACCTGGTCAGAGATGTGTACAATGGACCGGGGACGCGCCTCAGAGGAGACGAGACAGCTGAATAGAGAACCTAATATGGTGAGTCACCGAAGTATTGAATGGGCGCTCAGGAGTAAGCGCAGACAACAAAAAAAGTATTACCTGGACGATCCACAGTGTAAACGCAATGCCCAAATATATCTGCCACTCCATCTTGTTAAACTGAAGGAGTTGGCAATTTGCTATGCAATTTGTCATTCTACAATCCACAAGCACGTATCAAGGTGTCTGCTCTCTCGATCAATGGCCTTATCTTTCAGACAGTAACACGAATGACAACAATCGTGGCAACTATATATGATTACCATCCGTCTTCAGGAGAAACGCTTCACCCGCCCTGGTCAATCAATTTAACTCGTATCATCCAGCACTGGGGGTTGATGTCTTGATATAAGCCGTGTACCCCTCAGCACGCCAAGTAATTTAATTATGCTATGTTAGCTTGACTAAGCGGATGTCGCATTTATTGTCGCGAGCGGGAGATGTGGAGATACTTTGGTTTCAGCCGAGCACCGATTTAGTCGGTAAGCGAGCAACGGCAGTTGTGCTTCGGGTGTACTCTGCGCGTACTCCGTACAGATAACCTGCCGGTTACTGGCCTAGTCAGGACAAGTCTAAACATGTTGCTTGGCATCGCGGTATGCGGCCTCTACAGCTTCTGGCAGCGATTTTGCGAGTTTCGTAGCTGAAAACCGGATTGATCCAGATTATTTGATCGTTTGCTCTCCAGCTAGATACCCAAGCTTGCAAAGTGGAGTATTACTGGGAGAAAGTTGAGACATATTCTTATTCTTGATGCCCAGAGACTTGCTGCGCTTGAATCAACAGAACTGACTCAGAACACTTATCTAGTGTTTGGAACTTCGACGTTTCGGTCTACATGAGGAAGGCGAAAACTCAAATGCATGGCTTCAGTTATTGCAGCTCTTCAAGAGCAAATCCTGTTCCGTGCCACTTCTCTATCTTCTCCTAGCAAGATCGCCCTCTCCTCTTGAACCTGTTGGTCAAATTACGGACGTCTTTCCGACAGCGAGCTGATATCCTAGATCAATGGTGATCTTTCCACGAACTTGTCATTAGGGAAGGGGTTGTCGATTAATTAGGGACTGAACTTGGACTGAAACCCCAAGTGTAACACCAACTGTACCACTGTACCACTATACCACTGTATACCATTCTGCTAATATAACTAACTCTCCCCACATTACAACACAATGATAAGGATCAAGTCAAACACGTCGTCTTTGACCGTCAACTCACCGGGGGGTGTTTCTCAGATCTATTATATGCCATTCAGAAAGACAACTACGTCAACGCTTCAACCGGGCATCTGATGGCACCGTTAAACTGGGATCAACCACGATTTCGAGTCATCCTGCTATCAAACGCCCGCAGAAATCAGGCACTTGTTTGCTTTAGTTGAAGAAAAGGATGCTCCGCCAGTTCGCCTGCCTTTTTTCGCATATCTGGATGCCAGACAAGCATTCCCTTGGCGAGATCCAGAAACGCTTCCCTCTCCTCTCCCTCAAGGATGAAACTGTGCCGCCTAGTTCCCGGTCGGGGATCAGGTCTTCGTAGAGAAAGCGACCTAAGATGTTTCGTGAGTCTGAGAATATTTCGTTCGAGATAGGAAACCCAGTAATACCATTATTGTCAAAGAATGGCCCACAAAAGTATTCCTCCGCGGTCCCGCATACTTTGTCGTCTTCTCGTCTGACAGGCTGCGGCCAAGAGTATTCTCGCATGGATTGATATCTTTGTATGATCTCTGGAGGGGGTGGACCGAGTAAGGCTATGATTTCGGCGATGTGTAGTTTAGCATCGTAGCGACCTTGTTTGTCATGTATATGCCGAAATAACTCTTTGCCTTCGATCATATCCCATAGCTGATCTGGCATCAGTGGACGCAACAACTTTGGAGAACAACGGGACGTACCAGGACACCAAGATTCCAAATATCCGCAGGCATTCGCCATCCATTACCCAGTATCACCTCTGGTGCCCGATAGTGATCTGGCTGAATAGGCCAGACGCCCCAGTCATCATCTTCCTCGAGTCTGGTTGCCAAGCCGAAGTCAACAAGCTGTGGTATACTTCTCAGGCTTTTAAGTGGCCCGAAGTCATTCCGGGACTCATACACTGGTCGTCCCGTCGAATCAATCTTGAAAGCTATCGGTCTTTCAAGCTGAGAATCCATGAAATCAGCAAGCACAGTTGGATCCTCGAATGGGACCATGATGTTTTCAAGCTTCAGATCTAGGTAACCGCCTAGGCTCAGTACCACCAACGGGAAGCAATGCCGAAGATGAACTTACCCGTATGAACTATCCTGCATTCTTTGTGAAGATAATCAAGCCCTGTAAGAAGAGCACGAATGTATGCTTTAATGAGGGGCAGTGGCATATTTCCATTGTCAAAGCGCCGTTGATACGTCGACAATGGCTCTCTCATAGGCGGATACACAAGACACAAATGAGAACATTCTGGGCCTTTCACTTCAAAGATGTCGACTGATCTTCGGATAAGTGAGCGACCGCGGTGTGATGGGTCCGCTGTGGAAATGTGCTCTTCAATCTCGCGCTCGTGACAAGCGGAATTCGTATTGCTATTGGCGATTTTCAATGCCACCACGTTTTCTGGCTCTTGGACATGTCTGTATCTTTATTAGGTACAGAGAGAGCTTCGAATTGAACAGAAATTACTGAAGGTTACTACCCTTGCAGATCGCGCGCGAGCCATACTGTCGAAGACACTCCCCAACCGACCTTGACCAGGGTTTGGTAACGACTGGCGAGTACCTCTCCGGGCTTCGCTGGGTAGAAGTACTTGGAATTGTATACTGGCGAGATCTCTTCATCAACAAGTATGCCAGGCGGTAAAGGTGGCCCGGGAGAAGGCATGGGAAACGGTTTCTTGCGAAGCAAGGCAGACAAACGGGGAACGGACGGTCGTATAGTATTCATTACGAAGGTATTCGCCGTAAGCCGACGGGAGAATGTGATATCAATGGGTGTCAAAGAAGAACAGGATCAAGAGGGAGGCCCCTGCATGGTTAGTGAACTTGATCACGTGGCACTCTAGATGTCTTACCTACGACATCCCATGGGGATTTCTCTACGCTTTCATTGTCTCTGTCGTTCGCTAATGCATGTGGCTTTCCACATGGAAGTGTGTCCTGTACGACGAAGGATTCCTTGTGTTCAAGCCTCATATGGGGAACAGCAGCTGGCCTCAATTTAGGGCGATAAGGCACCAGGATAGAGCATTCCATATGTCCGTGTATTTTTTTGATGGAAGGACTAACATTCGTCTCGAGTGTATGATTCGTAGTCCACCTAACTCATCAAGATCTATCGTCCGACTTCCACCAAACTAACCATAGTATTTCGATCAAGACGAGTATAGAGCTTCAGACAGTTTGGCCCCGGTGATAACTTCAATGTAGTCTTAATAAAAGGTCAGACTTAGTTAAATAGAAATTTAACATCGCGGCCACCTGTAAACGTCATTGTTTGGTGTTGATCTAGTATATTCCACGAACTTGGACAAGTACCTTCATATTCTTAATCTCTGATCCTCTAGGATACTCCTACAGGTCTCTCGAAACAGACCACTGTGCATAATAATATCTTGCCCACATACACTGTGTTTCCAAGAAGATCTTCAATTACCACTTCTTATAAGATAATTGGTGGGGAGTCGGGGGTCTTGATACTGTATAGCGTAGCCAAGTGACAGTTAGTAATTCGAAATACGATGGCTGAGATTAACATTAGATTTGATTATAGGTTTATATCACCTATCGTCCCATTTGTCTACACAGATGGCAGCCTTCATAGTCGATAATATGAGCGAGCCGTAGGCAATGTCAGAATAATGACGATACCGGTCCTGGATATAGGAACCAAGTTTAAGCCTCGAGATAGACTGACAAGAATGATTTGACTCATCACACTTACAGATTCGTAGCAGCATTTATATTTTAATGCATGAGCAGATTAAATTCTCAGTCACCGATCCCAGACTGAGGTATACTAAACCCTCCAGCTTCGCTTTCTCCCATATTTCACACAGACACACAGACACACGCAGAGAGAGAGGGAGATAGAGATGGGTTCTAGCTTTAACTCCTATCGATTCAATCGATGATTAGTAAAAAAAATAAAATACGATGTTGCTGGGACTAAGAAATTTTCCCCCTCATGTGAAGATGCGCCAGTTTTATATATATCCTTGCACTGACCGAGTACGACCAACGTATTTCGTCTCCAGAGATCAAATACACCAAAAGCAGCCATACTATACAGTACTGAACGATTTCCTAGTAGAAAGAAAATTTACTTAGGAGATAGATATTAAACGTGGGACACATCATGGAGAAAGCAGCTTCATACTCTGCTCTCCCCCACCTGCAAACCCATACGAACTTCAGCTAAGCCCTCTAGGAAATCAATGAAAGGGTAATCGAATGCAACCCGACAGGGAACACAAAAGTTGAACAACATGTGAGCAACCCTTTACCAACAACGAGCCAAAAAAAAAACCAGTCAAAGCGCCCCCCCAAGGACCACAAATCTTTGACATCAATTTCCACAGACAGCCAAGCACTACGAGTATCGGCCCTCGCGACCCCTTCCGAAGACAGCCGATGTCGCAGTCGATCATCGCGCTTCGTCTGACGATCATGAAGATCTCTCCACCGCATTGACGCGGCGCGGAACGCCATCCTTCCAGTAACTCGGCATAAGTGCTGAGTTAAACTGGTCCATTTATTCAGTCATGCTAACACGAACCGGAGCTCCGTGCTCACGTTGGTTGCTGATCTGCTTTGGAAGCCATTGCGTTTGAAATAGTGTGTAATAGTTCCAGCTGATATACGTCTGGTTGTATGGTGAGGCGCTGAAGGATTTATTTTGCGAGGTAGTTATCCGTATGTGTGCATCCCTGGATTGATACTAAGGGGTTATGCAGTGGGGTTGTGTGATTTGGAATACGAGTAGTTTGGTATTCTGTTCGATTGTAGATATGGTATCTATTGTATTTGAAGGTCTTGAGAAGGCTCGTCACGGCCAATAGGTCATTGGTTGCAAAACTTCATCTCTCCTCCCAATATAAAGACATGTGTAGATAGAAGGGAATAGTATATATGTACAAGAGAAGTTGTAATGAAAGACATGGATAGACCAATCACCCTAGAACTAAATAAACACAGGGCTGAGGGCCTGGGATATCAATATAGGCGTCATGAATAATAATAGAAACAGTAAGATGCCCCAGAAACGGGAGGCCCGGACATCACTAATAAGCGTATTATGTCAAGAAAATATATGAATGGTAGTGAAGAGAGCGTAAGGAGAAGAGAAAGACAAGAGAAAGGAAAGGGCATTCGACATTAATTCGATGACATTAGGAGTTGGCGTTCTTCCGTAAGAGTAACTGCGCAAGGGTTGCAAACCAGTCGACTGTCGGCTATCTCCCCCACATCCTGGCGCTCTGCTCGGGACCTTTGCCGTTTCCGAGGGACCCTTTGCTCGACCGGTCACTGCTTTCAGCCTCCGGGTAGGCAGGCTCGTGGGTGATTTCAATTGTGGTATGTTGATACACCTTTCCAAGAGGCGCCAGTTCCATGCCGGAAGGTTGTACGATATTGTCAGTGGATCCTTCGCGCACAGTGTGGCCGAATTCGTCGTCGTCTTCACGGCGTCGGTGGGTGCGCAGAACACTGATGTCAGTCCGAGTATGCTTGCCTTCTGCGGCGGTAATGGTCGTGAGATGGTCAGTCTTTCGGTTTTTGCTGCTTGCAAAGCGGTTGTAACTGCGATCGCGACTTGGCTCGGACTCCAAAATCAGGTTTCGACGAGTGAGCGTGTAGAGAAGGACGTCGACTAAGCCTGAACTCGTAATAACGGCACCTGCAACACAGAAGAAGGCAATGCTTGGTGTTTGACCTTGGGCTGTTGCCATTCGTCCTGCAGCAAGAGGCAAGGACAGCACAATGTACGCAACCGGATAGATAATCATGTATCCGATAACACGTCGCAGGCGCTTGAGACTCTCCGTATGACTGCTTCCAAGGATGGCAGATTGCTTGATCCGACGGCGTAGCTGGAACCACATGATGGCATAGAGACAGACGGTTCCGAATTCGGCCAGGAAAATCCAGATATAATGAGTCCACAAACGGATTGGCTCGTACTCTTCGCTGATCCAGCACTGGGGTTACATTTAGCAATCGACTTTTATCTCGGGAAAACAGAAGGCCCTTACCCATGCGCCTGACGGAATGAAGACGAATCGTCCGTGGGATGCGAGCGGAATAATAACCAAGATAGCCACAAAAAGCCATACGCCGACCACGCCACAAACAAAGACTCGATGGCTCAGCTTGCGACCCAATGCTACCAGAAGGAATGTATGAACGGCAATTGCGAGCACGAACAAACCACTGCCGGGATCCCCAATCTGCAGCCAAAATCCTTGAAGAAAGCAGGCCGCCGAAGACGCTTCTATTCTGTTGTCTGTGATCCATTTAAGACAGATTAAAAATGCCAATGATTGTTGCAGATCGGCCAACACTAGGTTATAGATAAGAACAATATACTGATTGTAACCGATATATCGTGCGTAATTGGAGCGCCAGAAGACCAGCCGATAAGTGATGAACAAGAGTAGAATCAAAGTCGCGATGAAGGATAGGAAGGCCATGACGGTGACCGCAATTAGGCCCTTGCGTTGGGCTGATGGTAGAGGATCGATATCCAATGTAGGGCCACCATTAGTATAAGCCAGTCGCCGTGCAAGGGAGTTACCCTCGTCGTCACGACTGGCTAGCACACTCAACACTTGAGCCAGACTCATTGTCGTTTAACCTCTCGTAGTAATCCTTTCGATTCCGCTGTTATCATTCTTCGTGCGACACGTGCGGAGGCCGTGCCCCAGGGTAGGGCGAAGTTTGTCGAAGCGATATTAGAAACAGGAAGATGAAAAACCACCCTGGGGAGACACTGATTGCTCTGGCAGAACTAGGATGCAAATCGTCGGGCTGGCACCCTGTGGAGATTTAGTCCAGAGCGGAGATATATCTATTATATCCGCTTTCTTCAGGGGCAGTCCATGTCCTTATTCCATGATGGACCAGCTATCAGCATGAGAAAAGAAAAGAGGGAGGGGGGGGAGGGGGAAGGATGAGAAGGTTAAGGGCCACGACGAAAGTAGTGCAATATTAATTCTATTATTTTCTTTCATTGTTAAACTAAATTGCTACAATGGGGATTGAAACTAAACTACCGACATTGGGCGAGTGGATTGTGTGGAGTGGCACCTTTTCTCATCCGTAGGCCGCGCAAAGCTTTTATTAAACTCTGATGGGCTTAGTTGTCTCCGCCTCAACCAACAATTCCTTGGTGAAAGGGACGGACTCCACAGAACTGGACGGACTAAGGAGTAGTAGGTTTCCTGACTGAAATTGGAACGCCAGTACAGGGGCACCCTTCCGGACGATCAAAGAGGTAATTGAAAACTAAAAACCTAATGGACTTCTGGGCCCTGGAGGTGGTTCCTGAAAACTCTAGACACGAGGGTTCCATGCCAAGAGAAGTAAGGCCACGAATGTGTTTTGGGCTGCGGGGGAATTGAGAACGGCTCGTAGTAGAATTCCTTGGCTCTCGTAATTCGACGATAGATAACCTTCCCATGACCTTACGGGGTTAGGTTGCCTAGTACGGAGTAAAAACAAGGGCACAGATGGTAACCGTTGAACCAAATAGGTTCCAAACAGTCGTCGTCTGCAGGGGTAGAATTGGGCCCATTGTGGCAGAAGTGGGCTTGGACCGACCACAGGCAGAAGGATATTATTATTGCACGGAAAATATCGAAACAGGAGTAGTTCAACTTTGCCACCACTCTTGTGGCCAACAGACACTGGATTGGACATTAGGCTCATACCTAGTGCTTTAAAGCTGGA